GTCCTCGTTTTGAAGAGACGGCGCCCCGCGTTCCCCACCTCCTCCTCCTCCCCCTCCCTCCCTCCTCCCATCATCATCATCATCATCATCATCATCATCATCATCATCACCACCGATGTCAGCACACCCCTCGCACGTTTCGTGGCTCCATGGGGAGCTCTACCAAAGGCCCCAGCGGCAGGGTCCGCATGCCTTCCCACCACCCTTTTCGGCACACCCCTCACACGTTTCGTGGCCCCATAGGGAGCCCCACCGAAGGCCCCAGTGGCAGGGTCCGCATGCCTCCCCACTACCCATTTCGGCACACCCCTCACACGCTTCGTGGCCCCATGGGGAGCTCCACCCAAGGCCCCAGTGGCAGGGCCCGCATGCCCCCCCACCACCCATTTCGGCACAACTCTCACACGTTTCGTGGCCCCATAGGGAACTCCACCGAAGGCCCCAGTGGCAGGGTCAGCATGCCTCCCCACCACCCATTTCGGCACACCCCTCACACGTTTCGTGGCCCCATAGGGAGCTCCACCGAAGGCCCCAGCGGCAGGCGTCCGCATGCCTCCCCACCACCCATTTCGGCACACCCCTCACACGTTTCGTGGCCCCATAGGGAGCTCCACCGAAGGCCCCAGTGGCAGGGTCCGCATGCCTCCCCACCACCCATTTCGGCACACCCCTCACACGTTTCGTGGCCCCATAGGGAGCTCCACCGAAGGCCCCAGTGGCAGGGTCGCATGCCTCCCCACCACCCATTTCGGCACAACCTCACACGTTTCGTGGCCCCATAGGGAGCTCCACCGAAGGCCCCAGTGGCAGGGTCCGCGTGCCTCCCCACCACCCATTTCGGCACACCCTCACACGTTTCGTGGCCCCATAAGGAGCTCCACCGAAGGCCCCAGTGGCAGGGCCCGCATGCCTCCCCACCACCCATTTCGGCACACCCCACGCACGTTTCGTGGCCCCATAGGGAGCTCCACCGAAGGCCCCAGTGGCAGGGTTCGCATGCCTCCCCACCACCCATTTCGGCACACCCCTCACACGCTTCGTGGCCCCATGGGAGCTCCACCCAAGGCCCCAGTGGCAGGGTCAGCATGCCTCCCCACCACCCATTTCGGCACACCCCTCACACGCTTCGTGGCCCCATAGGGAGCTCCACCGAAGGCCCCAGTGGCCTGGTTCGCATGCCTCCTCAACACCCATTTCGGCACATCCCTCGCGCGTTCCGTGGCCCCATGGGGATTTCCCTTGAAGGCCCCAGTGGCAGGGTCCGCATGCGCCCCCACACCCATTTCGGCACACCCCTCACACGTTTCGTGGCACCATGGGGAGCTCCTCCGAAGGCCCCAGTGGCAGGGCCCGCATGCCGCCCCCACCACCCATTTCGGCACAACTCTCACACGTTTCGTGGCCCCACAGGGAGCTCCACCGAAGGCCCCAGTGGCTGCGTTCGCATGCCGCCCCCACGCCAACTTCGGTGCACCCCTCACACGTTTCGTGGCCCCATAAGGAGTTCCACCGAAGGCCCCAGTGGCAACGTTCGCATGCCGCCCCCACCACCCATTTCGGCACACCCCTCAAACGGTTCGTGGCCCCATAGGGAGATCCACCGAAGACGGTACTCACACCAGCATTACTCACAATTGCATATGGCTGGGTCCTTCGCCAGGCTATTTTGTTGTTTGGGGGGGAGCGGCTGCTGTCAGCGCGAACTGCATCTTGCATCGTGCACGCGTGCGCCCGTGCCTGTCATAGACTGCTCAGTTCAATCCGATGCTCGAGTGGTTGGTTCTCCCGATCGAACGTGGTGTGCTCTCTCAGGTGCTACGGGCTCCGCTTGGTCTTTTTGACCGGATCGATGCTGGAGCTGCCGTCTTGGGGGGGCCCGCTTCCCCCATCATGGACTGCGCAATCGACGGCCGCCCTGCTTCGGGCTGCCACGCGTGCATTCGATGGCCATTGCAGCTACCTGCAGCTCTTGCGTAGCACTGTCATACGTTGGCAACGTGAGATTGACGATGGCCGCTTCGACCTTACTCCGTTATCATGTTTGGACCGTTCTCGGCTGTACCCCAAGTTTTGGAAGTCCACTGCTTATGTCGCACAGCTCGAGTTGACCCAGATCTCTTCCCAGGATGAGGTTATATGCGGAGCCCGCCAGGCCCCCCAGGACGAGGCGGCGGCTACCGCGAGAAGGCCCAAACTACAGCGTGCAGTAGCGCGCTATCTTGGCTCGCAGATGTGCGCGCACTCTCCCCTATCACAGATGCTGAAGCGGAACCTGGCCCCGCATTTCATTGGCTACCACCCTTTTCTTGATCAGGTTCTCTGGCCACAACTCCGTGAACTACCATGCCTAGCCCCACAGAGTTGGGCCATGTCTGCATTGCGCGCTCGGGGTAATGGATGGCTCGCGTCACATCGCATCATCCATCAGCAGGGCAAGTTAAGATGTCGCTTTGGGTGCCAACGTCCTGGCCGTCTTCTGCACTATGCGCGCTGCCCTATTGTGCTCCGAGCCGTCGGCCTAGGTCTTCAACGGTCCTCCCCCGTACCCTCCCTGAGCGTTGGGGCCTTACTCAACTGCACCCTCATCATCTTGAATTTCTCTATGGTATGTGCCAGACTTACAACCTTGCCCGTCTCGGCTCGGCTATCGTGACACCATCGCAGCTTCGTGGCTACGTTGGCGCTGCTCTCCGCTCCCTCCGCCCGTCTAGGCCGAGCGACCGATTGCGATGATGGGTACCACCACCATTTATCCCAGTGTAGCGACGGGTTCAGTATCCTCCTGAGGTGATCTCCCTTTCGTCCACCTCCGAGCCGAGCCCCAGTTGCGGCCCCTCCTCTGACGCCCCACGTCCTGGCCTGGCCCCATTCACGCCCTAGGCCACCGACGACTGGATCAGCTATTCGCCCCCTGGCATGGGTCGCCCTGCCCCATCAAGTCACCCGTTGGTCGCCGCTTTGGCTCAGAGGCCGCTTGCTGGTCTGCAGGCCGTTGCCTCATCGCCTCGGTTGACGCCGGCTGTCTCGCCGACGTCGACCCCGCCGACGCTTTCCACGCCTATTGCTTATGCAGCATCTGAGGACGACGCTGCGCCGATGGTTGCGATGCCACTGCAGGCCCGTCGGGCGACCTTCACCTTGATCGCAGTATCAACTGGTGCTGGGGCCCTGCAGATTTCGGTGCCCGTCTATCGTTTTCAAATGGGCAGTATTCTTCCTGCGACTCCGATGTTGCCTCGCACTGTTCAGAAGATCCACGCTGGCAGCGATGATGGCCCTCATGGCATTAGCATGCCCCCTGATGAGGTCGACCCCAACAGCCCTCAAGCTGTCTTCTTCCTGTCCACGGTGTCGAAGGCTTCGCGGTGGATACTGAGGCTGGACATGCCTGATGGTGGCCTTAGCGACTGGAGACTCTGGTGCGAGCCGTTCGTTGAAGCCAAGCTCCGCTCTCTTGAATGGGCGGAGACCGAGAGGCTTCGAACTGGACGGACGTTTGCCGAGATGGCCACCGACATCTGCGCTGCAGCATGGCGTCGCTCGACCGAGCGCCGACGCAGCATCGTCCAGTACCTGGGGCGGGGGAAGTCGCACGAGTCGCACGAAGTCTGGGAGCGCGCCGTCGCCCGGGACTGGTCTACACTTCGTTTCTTTCGGCGTGCGATGAGGTCTTACCTGCTCAGGTATGATGGCTCCACGGTCCCGCTCGCCATCAGTGAGCACGACGAGGACTGTGATGGCGAGATGCTCCCACCGGTTCACGCTGGCGTCACTATCTACTACCACGCTTCACGTCCCGATCCCGGGCGCGCCTCAGCTGGCAGTGACTTTGTGCGCTCGCGGCGCCTTCGTTCTGAACTGCTCGCACATGGACCCTCTCCTGCACCGCTTCCTTTCCCTCGCGCTGAAGGTGGTGAGGTGCTCTCGCGTCGCCGTCGCACAGGTTCGCAGCAATCGCGTCAGCCTCTCCTTCTGCTGGCGCGGCCGAGTCCTGGCAGCACCAACAGCTTGGACACCGCCGTCGACATGCCGCGGCAGGTTTCGAATGGCGACAGCCTACCACTCAGCAAGCACATCGTCGCAATGCAGCACCGCGACGACAAGGATGTGGGCTGCGACACAACAGCGCCTGTAGTTTTGGACACTTGTACTGGCGAAGACCGTGCAGGGCGCCATTGCCATCAGCCGCTGTCTCGACAGCCTAGTCATGCACATCAGGAGCCCCCCCGAGCTGGAGGTTGAGGCGATCTGGCAGCTCAGGCAGTTTTGCGCGGTGACATCGGTTCTGGTCGGGCCAGCCACTTCCAGCCTGACGATGCTGCACCTAACGTCCCTCGCCCTGCTGCGGGAGAGTCGGATTCTGAATGGAATGAAGATAGTTTACGACAGCACCTCAGTGGATGCGCCGGCCACTGGGTTGGTGATGTTGTTGCATGGGGTGACGTTACGGGCCGTGAGGATTGGCTATGGTGGTGTCAACCGTATGCTGAGCTGTGTATCATGGAAGATCCACAACTACGACGCCTCGCCTCTACGGCAGAGCAGGTTCGAGAACTTGCGAGGCGCCTGTGCGCCCACACTTTCTTTGGCGCGGAAGAGGACATGCGGATGCTCAACTTACGCTGCCAGGACACTTACAGACAAGACCGTGGGAGGTGGCACCACCTCCCGATTTTCCGCCTCAGCGCAGTTCGCAATGTCCGGCTCTCACTGGCTGCTCAGCAAGCAGATCAAGCAGATGTGGACCTACTGATTGCTGAGGCGACTCGTCAATCTACGCCATCCACTTCCAGGATGCTGCGCAGCGATACCTGGTCACCTCAGATGGCACACCTGAGCCTGCAGCTCCAAGGCCTCAGCCAGAGGACCGCAGCGACGACTTGATGGATGGAGATACCAACCTGCTGCAAGTGAACAAGTTGGTGCAGCCATCAGTATCTGGAGCCGAACATATTCGCAGGCTCCTGTGCCCCCTTCCACGTGCCAAGAGAGCATGGCACAATGGTGGCGGTTTGAAGTGGGGAGAACGTCTACGTGAATGGCGGGCGGTGGTGCTCCCCAAGTCAGATCACACGAATTCCAGAATTCCGAAATGGTCTCAAACTGGAACTGGAACTCATACTTACCAGGGGCGGCTCCTGCCAGCAGCTCGGAAAGCAATCAGATGTCCTGGGGATCCTACATCCCGCCGTCAGGAGCCGGTGCCATGTCTGAACAGGGACCAGATGTGTCCGCGCCTTGTGAGCTGGCCAGCGGTCGGCCTTACAAGGGTGCAGATACGGCATGTAACCTGACGGCTAACAGGGAGGTGTTCGTCGCCGGTTTTGCTGGGCACACTGCGCCACGGGAATCCTCCATCCCGTCGCCAGGCGTCGGTGCCAAGCCTGCGCAGGGACCATGTGGGTCCGCGCCTTGTGAGTTAGCCAGCGGTCGGCCTTGCAAGGGCGCAGGTGCGGCATGTAACCTGGCGGCTAACAGGGAGGTGGACGTCGCCAGTTTTGTTGGAAAGGATGGCAGTGACGTCGCCATGCCAGTGGGACCTCGACGCGTTCGGCGAGCTCCACGCGGACGTCTTGGGCTCCATCATCGGAGCGAGTTCCCCGCGGCTGCTGCGGGTGGGCTGTCAGAACGCGAAGGCGGGCGCCCCCTTCCCCAAGTCCCGCCTCGGATGCCCCGCTCTGAGCATGGTATGAGGCCCTTGTTTTCGATTGACCCCTTCCCGAGGTCCTCTTGAACCCTGGTGGCACTCCTGAGGCTTCCGCTACTGAGCCCCTGAGTCCTTCTGTAGGTGGCGGGGAAGCATTATGGTCTTGACACTTTCCCTGTCACCAGCGCGGCTGCATGTTTCCCCTTTCCGTCTCCTCCTGTTGCTGCTCCCCCTCATCTTCTGAATGAAAGATGCCTTCGGATTGAAACTAATATGCGGCCGCCTGGTCGCTCCTGCCCCGACGTGTTCAGCGAGTGCGTCACGGCAGGTGGGCCCGCGCTGTCTGCGCCGCCGATGCTGCTGTCGCCTGTCGCCGTCGCCCCTGTTTCGTCTTCCTCCATCCGCGCGGCGGATCAGGAGAGGTGCTCAAATTTGCAGGGCTTGCGAGCAGTGGAAGAAGACTGCTGCCGTCGGTACGCTCGCCCCCTCCTGCTGCTCCTCCTACTCCTCCTCCTGTGCCAGCTGCCGTGGCAGCTCGAGGCAGTCTCTTCTGGCAACGCCCATGAGGTCCACGAGGGGACCCGATTGGCCATGCACCCAGATCCCGCTCCAGAAGCTAGCACGGCCTGCTGGCCGATGACCCTCCGCGTGATAGGTTTCAATCCACTACACTTTTCTGGATCGCGCGCTGATGGTATTGTTCTTGCTTGCCCCAACATGGACCTCGTACTTCTTGCAGGGACCCAGGCGACCCACAGAAATTGCGAGCAGATTCTTAGTCGGCGAGTTCACGGTCGTTTGATTCTCGAGGCAGAGGTTGCAGATGGTCCCTACGCGAATAAATCTGCTGGGTGCGCTTTAATATTACACCGTTCTTTTACAGAGGCCCACATTCGCCGTATGTGGGCCAGCCCTGAGGGTGCTTATGGACGCGCCATGGCCGTGCGGATCCAGCGCGGCCCGCTGGGCGCGACAGCAATCATTATTTATTTTCCGACGCAGCCGAAGCGCGCGGCCGAGATTCCTCATTATGTAGCGACAGCCAAGACACTCATAGAATGGTGCGACCAAGTACTCTCGGAGCTCCCTTACAGAAGTACCCCGATACTATACACTGATCTGAATGACGGGCTCGGGCTCAGCAGAGGCCCAGGTAAATGGTCGGCGGTAGAAACGCTGGCGGTCGGTGCAGGAAGAAGTACAGAACATCGACGAAATTGAACAGGATAACGCCTTCGACATGCGAATGAACAACATCATATGCTGGCTATGAACACGAGAAGCCCCGATCTTCAATCCATTTTCTTTGGGAATGCGGGCGGTCAGAGCTGTATTGATTTTATCTGTGCGCCACTGGGCATGGCGGATTTCGCGACGGCATGCCACCCACTTTATCGACTAGGAGCGCCCCTCCAAGAGTATAGAGGCCGACCACCGAGGGACCGCGCCCCCGTGCACATGGAAATAAGCTGCATCAAAGATTTCACCCCGAGGATCCAGGCGGAGAGAATCCGCTGGAACATGGACGCCATGATGGAAGCTGTGCGCAAAGGAACCCTCCGACCCGAATTTATGAGAGCTGTCACCTCCCGCCTGCAGGAGGAAGAAGACAAGTGGCGTGAATTGCTTACGCGGGGGCGCCCCGGCGAGACTTTTGATTTCATACATGGCACTCTCATCGCCGCGGGGCAGCAGTTCTTCGAGGCCAAGATCACGAACGACACGACCTACCAGCAGGCCAAGGAAGAACGAGAACAGCTACTCAAGCGACGGGCCGAACTCCGACTACAGCGTACGGGGGCAGATGAGGAGACCCTCGGGGAGTGCGAGACCAAGCTTAGGGAGATTTCACAACAGCTCAAGCTTCAGCGACAGCGCATACAACGGCAACGACGTGAGGCTCTACTTACGGAGATAGATGAGGCTTGGGAGCGTCGGCACCTTGCGGAAGGCATGCGACTTACTCGACTCGCTGGAGTTCGCCGATACGGGGCCAAGAAACGGGACGGGCGACTGATACGTGGCAGCGCTTTCACTGAGGAGGAGCTAACGAACTATTGGAGGAAGCCAGGCTGTGAAGGAGGAATGAGCGCGACCCCGACCACAGCCCAGAGCCTGATTTGACGAATTCCCCGATCTTGGCCCCAGCTACATCGACGTCGAACATTGCGCTCTCGCCCAGGATGGCCTTTGGCTAGTAAAAAATACTTCAGACGGACAAAAAAAAGCGACGAGCTGTACCACCTGGGACACCCCCCACGGAAGTATGGCTGATGTGTTTGCAGCCCCTGTTGAATATGAAGGCCGAAGGTTACGGGCTCGGGCGGGACCACAGCGTGCCAGATATGCAGCAGTTTCAATCATTGCTGGAGGCGGCTTTCCGCCAAATACGATCCACGAACAGAACCCCGATCCAGTGGCATCACAGTCAGGGAACCCAGTTGCGGAAGAGCGCCGCCCCAGGACCGAAAGGAAGACGCACCGTTCACGTGATGGACGCTATGGGCAAGGCTTATCACCATGACATGCCCCATGTCCCGCACAAACTTTTTGAACGTGGCTTCGTCAAAGGAAAGCGCAGAGAAGATGCAATATTTGTCAATCAGATCACAGGTTGGAGGCTCCGACAGGCAGGACACTGCTTTGCCGTCGGCTACAAAGACCTCAGCAACGCGTTCGCCTGCGGCAAGTGGGACGAGCTCGAGCAGACCGTCCAGATGTATGCGAAGCCCGAGAACATCGACCTGTGCATCCAGCGATTCAAGATGAGCACGATCACCCTCGAGACCGTGGAGGGCCACGTGACCCTGAAGACGGGCGAAGGCGGCTTGATGGGGGATCCATACGCTGTTCAGTTATTTCGGGGCACCTTTTTCACGACCGCTGACAAAATGGAAATATTCGATCCAGCATTCGGGTGCCCTCTCGCCAACCAGTTGACGGCCAGGTGGCGCGACACGAGGGCGCACGTGGGGGGCTGCACTTATGCAGATGACGTATTTCAAATACATGTGGTTCCTGTGCCCATCTCGATCAAGGACTTCTTCGGCACTATGAAGGACATCGGTGATGCTTTCGATCGTGCTCTAACGGAGGTGGGATATGCAAGAAATCCGACAAAGCAGGAACTCCATATGTACTTTCACGGACTTGGGGCCGCCACTTGCAAAAGATGGGCTCGTTCACATCCAGAACTTCTTTCAGGACTATTCAGAGATGCGGTGCGATACTTGGGACCGATGCTTCATGCCAATCAATCCGTCGGGACGGAGGTGAACCGCAGATGTGCCGCTTGCGCAGATTCTTTCTATTCGCTCGGCCGTGTATGGTCGCTTTCATTGCCGTATCGCTGGCTTCGCACTCTTTTCCTGAGCTACGTCCAGAACATATCCCTCGGGCATCGAGCCGCTCCTCCTCACCCCCAACCACTGCAAAAATTTAGACGGACAAATCGCCAGATTTGGACGACGGGCTATGCAAGGCCGAGCGGCGACACGGACGGACGGTGACCACATGAAGACGATGACGACGAAACAGATCTTAGCCTACTGGAGGATCCCAGAGAAGAACGTTGAAATGACGATTCGTAGGTTGAACTGGTACGTGGGCTGGGCCAGGGACCCCCAGAAGCACTCCTAGGAGCTCTGCCTGCTGTTCGGATCTCTGGAGGTCATGGGATGTAGGGGTGGACATCTTCACGGGGACGTTCCTGGAACAGAGGCTTCTTTGTGGCTCCGTAGATTCCAGAAGGACTTCCTGAGGGCCGCTGAGGACTTGGATTCGGGCAGGGACGTCTGCGAGTTCGTGAGTCAGAACCCTGGGAGGCTGTTAGACCAGGACGTAGTGACGGAGCTTCTCCAGCTCGATTTCACAGAGATTCGCGCCGGCTGTCTCTCGCATGCAGTCCCACCGTTTCACACGCAGGCGGCGCGCGCTGGCCCTGCTGAGCCCCCACCAGACGAGGCGCCCTCGGAGTGGCAGTGTGATTGGCAGCTTGACACTGAGACAGGCAAAAAGATGTGCGGGTGCGAGTTTCGAACCAGACGGGATTTGCTCAACCACATGAGGAGGATCCATTTTGTCAGAAACCTCAGCTCGGTGTTGACCCCCACGAACTCCTGCATCGTGTGTCGCCGTGTTTTCGGGTGTCAAGGTAACGCTTATAAACACCTTCAGCGTGCAATACTCCAGGGTTACTGCCCCGCTCGAGGCACAACGACGCTCCTCCCCGAGAAACCCGTGAAGGCCCTCAAGTGCGTCCTGTGTGAGTAGCATGCTGCTGACACAGGGGATCTATGTTGTCATCTCCGTAGCCATCTTCCTCGAGAAGCGCGGCCATCTCTTCGCCCCGATATCGAACCGATCGACAGAGATGGAGCTGGAGAAGCCAGACTGGCTTCAGGTGCCCCAACGTGCTGGGGGAGAAGTCAGCCGAGCTCGGCTGTCCAAGGACGTCAAGGGCAAGCTCCAAGCGGGCAAAGGAGACCAAGAGATCATAGGGCAGCTCGCACTCATCATCACGCGCCTAGTGCTGACGGACAGCAAGCAGGGCCATCGCGGAGCTGACGGCCACCGTCTACACCACTTACGCGCTCGACTATGTAGAGGGCGGGGTCACGTATCTGATGGAGGACGCGGGCAAACGCTACCAGGAGATCTCGAACGACTTGGCCGAGAAGAAGAAACAGGGCGAGGTGGTGGATTTCAAGAGCCATGGGCCCCCTCACCTCCACATATTCATGATCGCCCTCATCTTCCTGGCCAAGCAGGAGACCGAGTGGGGCGGGGCGCTTCGAGAGATCTACGAAACATATCTCAAGGGTTTCAAGATGCTGGAGGTGGGAGAGGTCGTCCTCCACTGGCAGCGGAAGCGGAACAGGAAGGAGGGATCGAGCCAGGAGAACAAGGGGCGCCTCATCATCGCGATCGATTAGGATCACGAAGTAGGTCGCCAGCTCATCCCCACAGTGCGCACAGCCATCATGAGCATCGGGGGAGAGCGTTTGATCGGCCCCGCACCCAGAGGCCCACTCGAGAGGGACGCGAGCAAACTCCTGGGACAGCTTCGCAAAGCCTGATCGGACAAAGTGACTTGAGGTTGAGGCCTGAGCTCGCCAGTCTGCAGTATAGCCAGAGACTTAGAGAGCTGATTGCACTCGGTCGAGTGCGAGTGGATGTTTTACGTAGGCACGAGCCTGTCAGGAATGAGAATTTGCTCCCTATCCCCACGGCCTACGGCCCTAACCTCCCGCCGATCCCCACGGTACAGCTCCGCCCGTCGATGAGGGGTCGAGGTAGAGGAGGGAGGGGTGGTGGCCAATCACGTGGTGGAAGGAGCAGCTCTCTGTAGTAGTGTAGTAGTGGCCCACCTGCAACGCAGGTGAGGTGTTCCGTGTTTCCCCCTGTGGCTTTTTCTCTAGGGTGGACGCACTCATTCGACATGTAATGATTTGCGCACACTGGCCACTGGGATCGAAGGCGTTTCATCGGTCCCCAGGGGGCGCCCCTGGGCTGCGTGCCATGTTGGGGGGTTGCCCCTAATGGGGCAGTGCGGCTCCGCCCGAGCGCAGGGGCCGTGGATAGGAAGGCGGCCTGAAGGGTACGCCACTCAGAGTTCTTCGCGAGGCCAGGTTTCAATCCAGTTGAGCCGCGAGTAACCCCGCAACCCACCGAACTCCAGGAGTCCAGTCCAGTCCAGTCCAGTCCTCCTGTTCCTCCTCCTCCTGCTCCTCCTCCTCCTCCTCCTCCTCCTTTCCTCCTCCTCCTCCTCCTCCTCCCCCTGCTCCTCCCCTCCCTTCTCTCTCCCCCTACCTCTCCACCCCTTCCCCTTCAGAAATCGTGTGTGGGGGGGCAGGGGCAGGGTTCGCAGGAGGCCCCCATATAGGAAGGTTTCTGCAAGTTTGCAGCCTTCGGGGGCCCTCGCTGGGCCCCTGGGCCCACCAGCGACCCTGGTTGAACAGCTGGCTCCTGGGACCGGGGTCCGTTCCTCTTGGAGATCCACGTGGTGAGCAAGCGGAAACGTCGGGGGCCTGGGCGTCGAGGTGGGCGCCGCCGCCCTCGCTGGCTTGCCGCTGGAGGTCGAGCGGCACGAAGCGTCATAAAAGTTATCTTCCGGGCCCCCCACTTGGCCCCGGGGGATTTTCGAATACCTTCGGACCCAACGCTGGGCTTTTTCCGGAGGACCTTCCTAGAAGTTGGACCTGGCCCCGTGGCGGCGCCTCCGGCGCCGCCCCTAATGCGCTCCACGCGCCAGGGAGGGGGTTTTGCAGCGCCGATTCACGACCCCCCCCGCGGAGTTCCGAGAAAGTGTAAGTTTATATGCGCTCTCCTTTCGTCCTCCGGAGGAGGGCTTCGCCCCGCTGGAGCCCTGGCCGCTGGGGCCCGCCGGTCTGGCCCAGCGCCTCGGCCTCGAGGTGGGCGAGGGGCCGCCCTCGCCAGCCCGCCGCTGGACACAGAGATCCGACGCATTGTTCCCCGCACTGAAGGGGGGGTCCTTGGCGGAAGTTGAAGGATTTGGCGAAAGTCTCCCGCCGATTTTGCTAGGCAGGCTGGGTTCCCGGGTTCCCGGTTCCGGGTTCCCGGGTTTCCGGTCATTGGTTCCCGACCGAATTCGGTGGGGCCTGGGTTCCTGGGTTTCTTGGGTTCCCGGTCGATCTCCTCAGCGAAAACCATCCAGTGAATGGTTTTTTTTCTCTGGTGTAATTAGGGTGCAACTCCCTGGGGGTCAGAGTTCACTGATGGCAAAGATTTGTTGAAGGAGTTCTGCCTTCAGGGAGTGAAGCAGTGCGCAGTCAGTGAGCTACCGAAGACAATTTGTCGTCATAAAGCTGCTCGCTGAGAGCACACAGTGCTTGCGTGCAACGAGCAGATGTTTCACTCCTGGTAGATCAGATTCAGCACGAAAGCCGGCCCAATTTTGGCATCACCTCGCTTAATCTGGTTTCATCCCGCTTACTGCAGCTGAGTCCTACTTAACCCAAGGCTCAAGCCGGCCTGGTCAGGCTCAATGGCTTAATGGTCCCCTGGTAGCCTCTAACCGTTCTTAAGCAGGCCTCCCAGAAATTGACTTCGAGCGGCCCCCAGAACTCCTGACCCTTTTTTCCCAGGGTCGGGCGGACGGCAACGCGGGAGCAATCATCGTAGGGGGGGATCGAGGATTGCAGGGAAGTGTCCTTAAAAGGGTCCCTGAACTGCCTGGGCTGGCCCAACAGGTTCACGACATGTGCCCGTTTATTCACCCCACGTCTGTTGCCCCTCCGTGCACGGCTGCCCCGAAGGGGCCGGTCCTGCCTTCCGAGTCCTTCTCCCGGCGGTCCTGGGGCCCGGCGTGGGCTCGCCTGAAACCGGCGAGCAACTTCGGCATCGGGGTTTGGGAGTGCGGCGGAGATCGGGGGGCCGAAGGTGGACGGCGGCAGCCGCGTCGCCGGCGACGACGACTGCAGCGACAGCGCCGCCTGGGAGCCCTGGCGCGCGCTCGCGGAGCAAGAAGTGTCGGCGGACGCCAGCGAGATGGCGAGGTGGCGCGAGCGCCGGGCGAGGCGGAAGGCGGGCGGTCAGGGGCAACGTCAGGGGGTTCCGTCTCCTGGTCCATGCTCTTCCTCCTCTTCGTCCTCCGCCGGCTAGGACTCGAGACAAAGCGAATCGGCAGGTGAGGGATTCAGCACACGTGTAGTCTCCCAGGCTCCGCGCCTTGCCAGGCGCTGATGTCACTGTTTGGGGGGGGGTCTCTTGCTCTTGCCACCTTTGTGCAGAGATAGGGCGGCGGGGCACTTTAACGACGCGAACAGCGACCTGCAACCCCAGGTGGACCTCCGCCGAGAGGCACGAGGACATCTCTGAGGCACTCAGGGGTTGGGACATCTTGCGGATTGCGGGTGCGAAGCACAAGGGACAGACAGCAAGAGCAGGTATGCAGGGGAGGTCGGAAAGCATTGGGGACTACCCCTCAGAGGGGTCTCACCCCTCGCGCCTAACCCTTCCACACGCGGCCATCACAGGCACAGGGGGCCGGACGAGTCTTCGAGGTCCGACGTGTTCTGGCGTTTCCGTTGGTTCCCAGCGGCTTCCCTGTCTCGGGTTGCCTTCCAGCGGCTGCGCCTCGCCGAGTTTTCGAGGTTCGATGTCTTCGTTGGCTCCCGGCGGCTATCCAGTGTCGGGTTGCCTTCCAGCGGCTGCGCCTCGCCGAGTTTTCGAGGTCGACCGTGTTCCCGCGTCTCCGTTGGTCCTTGCGATGTGTCGCCGATTCCAGCTCGAAGTTTCCCCCGCTGACGTTGCCCCTCAGGCGAACCGGGGTGCCCTTGTGGGTGTCGGCTGGCGCTCTTTCCGCAGTCAGTCTCACGAGCATTCGGTGCTGTGCAGCAGCGACTGCAGGGTGGGAGCCGGCGTCAGGGCGGCTTGGCACTCGCTCTGACCGGGGGCGGCCCTGGGTCATGCTTTTGGCTGGAGGCCAGGAACAGGCGCACTTCACTTTTGGGCACCGCTTTTCGGTGCCCCGTTTTTTGCCGACCGATTCTGCTGGTCAGTATTTTCTTCTCGTCCTCCTCGCATGGCAACTAGTGCACGAGTGCTCTCTTTTGGAAGGGTGCGCGCGCTTCTGGTCCCCAAGGCGTGCGGTCAATCTTCTTGGAGTTCTGGGCTCGCGCGCCCTGGCGCTCCTGCGCGATTACCTCCTCCCTCCTTCCGTTCTCGATGAATCAGCCATTCTTCCTCCCACCCTCCATCCTCGCCTCGATGAAGAACAAGGCCGCGTAAACATACATTTTCGCAGGTCCGCGCGGAGTTCTTGGACTGGCGCCGCATCCCGGACCCCCCTCCCTGGCGCGCGGAGCGGCCCACGGGCAGCGCCGGGAGCGCCGCCAGGGAGGCCAACACAGACCCAAGAAATCCGCGCCGACTTCCAAACATTTACGGCTGTGCATTTCTTATTATTTGATTGCCGTTCTCGCGGCCAGGGAGCTCTCCTGGAGTATGTGTACGGACGGGTTCCAGCGCGGTTCCTTCCCCGAGGCACCTTCCTCTAAGAGGGCCGCCCCATCAGAAGCCAAACATGGCTCTACAGGGCCTCAAGACAGCCCCAAGAAGGTTACAGGAGAGTCCCACGAGTGAGTTAGAGGAGGAGATGATGATGGTGGTAATGGCGATGGTGATGGTGATGATGATTCGTGAGGGCGATTTGCTGAATTGGTTGGTGATGACGATGTCACGGTAGTGATGATGGCGATGGTTTTGTAGATGTTTATTGGGTCCCCTCCTTTTCTGCGTCTCTCCCTTCCTCGTCATCTTCATCCTCATCCCTTCTCCCTTCCCGTACCCTCCCTGGTTGGTTGGTTCACCGGTCGGGGAGGGAGGGCGGAGGCGGTGGTTTCCTCAAGAACACGAGTCAATATGTGGCATGAATGCGTCAATATAACGTTATTCCAGTTCTTCCAGTTCGCAGATTGCGCGAAATCTAGGCTGTGGAAGAAAGGAGAGGAGGGCAGAGCGGGAAGAGGGCGAGTGCGATGGGAAGAATGCGTGGAGGAGACGGCAGGAGGAAGGAGGGCAACGAGATGGAGGAGAAGGTGCTGGGGGAGGTCGAGGTCAGGGGAACGGAAGATCGACACATACAGTCGGGGCCCTGAAGAAGGAACCCTTTTCGTTGGGGAGGGGCTCCGCGTTCCTGAAGTGTTTCACAGCTTGCCTCGGGCTTTCCTTATGCTTCCGACAGGGAATCGAAGGTCAACTTATGGAAAAAAGGGGCCTCGTTCCTTATTTGGGGTTCCTTAGGTCAACGCCCCGACACATACCACTCGAGCGACAACGATCTGCACAGACATGGGGGCCCAAAGAATATACACCACCACCACGTCGATTCCTCCTCTCTCCTCTTTCCAGCGAGAGGGAGGGGGGGAGGGAGGTGGTGGTGGTGTATACTTTTGGGCTCCCTAAGACATCATTTCCTCAAAAGTCCCGCGCGGATCTCTTGGACTGGCGCTGGGCCCCCCCGCGGCGGTGCCTCCCCGGCGCCGCCCCACCGGGCGCGCGGCCGGCGCGCGGGGGCCCCTTGCGCCGATCGAGGAGAGATCCCGGTCAGAGCTCCGCGCGGATCTCCGAGGAAGTGTGCTTACACCTTAGGCGATGCTCAAGAAGACTTAAGTTTTCGGCCAGAGTCTCGATGATTCTTAGCGTTTCGATGTAAATCCTAAGATTTCAGTAGAAATTTCGGTTTTTTATTCAAGTTCTGAGACTATGAATTTCTTAACCCATGATTTCTTAAGCATTTCGCAAGGTGTACGCCGTGCCGCTTTGTCCCAACATCCCGAATGGGGCTCTTGTTTTCTCGATTCGTAAGAGCAGTACTCAACGGAGAGATCTGGGTCAGAGATCCGCGCGGATCTCCGAGGAAGTGTGCTTACGCCGTGCCGCTTTGTCCCAACATCCCGACTGGGGCTCTTGTTTTCTCGATTCGTAAGAGCAGTACTCAACGGAGAGATCTGGGTCAGAGATCCGCGCGGATCTCCGAGGAAGTGTGTTTACGCCGTGCTTTGTTGTCCCAACATCCGGGGTGGGGGTCTTGCTTTCTCGATTCGTCGGCGCCGTAACGGTCGCTCGCTAACGGGCACTTTGCAAAATTGCCGAAGGTTGCCACTTTAGGGCCTCTTTCTGGAATTGCAGCGTTGCCCACATCGGGGAGGATTGGGTTCGCCGGGCCACTGGCCAAAGTACCCGTTAGTGGAGTCCCCATTAGAGGGGCGCTGATCTCGATTCGTAAGAGTAGTACTCAACGATTGCCTGCCATACTGCAATAGGAATACTGTTCCACTGCCGCAGCATGGCAAACGTCTGTTGTGGCATTATCATAATGTAGTGCTGTAGTGGTGACGCTGTAACAGCACACGTGATTATTTAGCACTGTGCTGGTATTGCTCTGATACTGGCAGTCGTCGCAATGGAGCTTTGACGTTGGAGTACTCAAGCACGGCCGCCGTGCCCTAGCAGCGTAGTGCCGTTGTAGTACTGTATTAATATAATTATACTGAAGTCGTAGAAGTGCTCTGGTACAGTAGTAGTTGTAACAACGGAGTGGTGGCTGTGGGAACATCACGGGCTTGTATCACTTTCATAGTGTAGCATCACTCTAATATGGTCGAACTCTTGTGCTGGCAATTGCGTCATAGGAGTAGTCGTACCCGAACACTGTGATCATATAATTGTTGCAGTAATGAGGTAGTAGTAGTACCCTGGTGTTGTAATAGCAATTGAAGGTATGAGGCTCAGGCTAGGCTTTGGCTGAGGTTAGGCTCAGGCCAAGGCTCAGGCTGAGGCTGGGGCTTAACTTAGGCTGAGGCTGAGGCTTAGGCTGAAGCTAGGCTGAGGCTTAGGCTAGGCTTGGGATTGGCTTAGGCTGAGGCTTCCGCCGAAGCTCAGGCTGAGGTTTGGACGAGGCCCAGGCTAGGCTTAGGCTGAGGTGCAGGCCAGGCTGAGGCTTAGGCTCAGGTTGAGGTTTGGGTCAGGCTTAGGCTATGCTTAGGCTAGACTGAAGCTTAGGCTTGCCTGGCTTAGGCTTGGGCTTAGGCCAGGCGGGGGCTGGAGTTTAGGCTTAGGCTTGGGTTTGGGCCAGGCTTAGGCAACGCTTCGGCTAAAGCTTAGGCTAGGCCGATGATGAAGCTTCGGCTCAGGCCAGGCTTAGGCCGGGTAGGAGAAGCAGAGCCTGTTCTAGACAGAGGTTGAATCTGAGGCTTAGGCTAGACTTCGGCTAAACTTCGGCTGGAGCTTAAGCTGGGCTAGGCTGAGGCTTAGGCTCTGCTTAGGCTGAAGTTTAGGCGGACGGCGGCGGAAAGAGAGAGAGAGAGGAGTGGGAGGCACGCCGAAGTAAAGCAGAGAGGGTACACCACGCTGATACCAACAGCAAGCAAACGATGCGCTCCAACTCCCACAAAAAGCAAAATCCTTCAAACCGCAGGGGGGCGCTTCGCCCCTTGAACCTCATCATCATCATCAGCAGCAGCAGCAGCATCATCAGCAGCATCATCATTTTTATCATCAACATCAGCACCAGCATCAGCAACATCATCCTCATAATCATAATCCGCATCAGCAGCAACATCATCATCATCATCATCATCATCATCATCATCGTCATCATCATCATCATCATCATCATCATCATCATCATCATCCTCATCATCATCATCATCATCGTCATCGTCATCATCATCAACATTAGCATCACCACCACCATCACCATCACCATCACGAGCACCTTCACCATCACAATCATCATATGTTTTCGTCATAGTCAGCATCATCGTTATCATCATCATCATCATCATCATCATCATCATCATCATCATCACCATCATCATCATCATCATCATCGTCATCATCATCATCATCAGCATCATGATCATCAGCATCATCATCATCACTCACCATAACCACTAATCGTTACCACACGCACTCACACACTCACGCATTCATTTACGCCTCGAGCAGGAGCCCTCTCCCTATCCAGCCCGCATTTCATGCTCGAATCCGAGCGGGGAGTCGGTAAACTTTGCCAGGTAAGGCACTCGAGTACCCCCTCCCTTTGGGGCCCGCGCTTCATGATCGAATTCGAGCGGGTCATCGGCAAACTTTCCAGGCATAGCACTTGATCACCCCAAGTGCGCAAATCGTGAGGATGTTGCTGGCGGGGGCTTGGTCTGTGACTGAATTGCGGGGAAGTCTCAGGGGGGAGTCCCCTCCCCATGGGGCCCGCGCTTCATGGTCGAATTCGAGCAGGTCATCGGCTAACTTTCCAGGCGTAGCACTTGAGCACCCCAATTGGGCAAATCGTGAGGATGTCTCCAGCGGGGGCTTGGTCTCTGACTGAATTGCGAGGAAGTCTCAGGGGGGAGTCCCCTCCCTATGGGGCCCGCGCTTCATGGTCGAATCCTAGCAGGTCATAGGCAATACCAGGCAACGCACTGGAGCACCCAAAAGGGGCAAGTCTTGAGGATGTCTCCAGCGGGAGCTTCGTCTGTGATGAACTTGCGAGGAAGTCTCAGGCGGGCGCCCCCTTCCCATGGAGCCCGCACTTCGTGTTCGAATCCGAGCGGGTCGTCGGCAAGCTCGACCAGGCGTCGCATTTGAGCACATGAAAGGGGGCAATTCGTGAGGATGTCTCCAGCGGGGGCTTCGACTGTGAGGGAATCCCGGTCAAGTATCAGGCGGAGGCCCTCTCACTATGGGGCCCGCGCTTCATGGTCGAATCCGAGCGGGCCATCGGCAAGTTCCATCAGGCATAGTATTTGAGCTCCCCAAGGGGGCAAGTCGTGATGGTGTCTCTGGCGGGGGCTTCATCCGTGACTGAATTGCGAGGAAGTCTCAGGCGGGAGCTCACCACCCACCAAACCACCCCAGCCCAACCCGAAGGCCCTAATTTGCCTTCCATTTCCAGTGGGCGGGGGTCGGGGAACATTGAAAAAACACATGGAACCCGTACCCCCCCCAACCCGAAATTCGGGTCAAATTCGGGTCTTCGGGTTGGGTTGGGGTGGTCTGGTAGGAAGTCAGGAGCCCTCACTCCCTCTGGGGCCCGCGCTTCATGTTAGAATCCAAGCGGATCATAGGCAAGCTTCCCAGGCGTGAGGACATCTCTGGCGGGGACTTCGTCTGTGAGTGCATTGCGAGGAAGCCCCAGGCGGGGGCTCCCTCCCCATGGGGCCCGCACCACCAGACAGCACTGGAGCGGCCCAAAGGGGCACATCGTAAGGATGTCTCAAGCGGGGGCCTCGTTTACAGCCAAAAACCTTAATAACGACGCGCGACTTTGCTCAGGGTACCCTTGCGTCCTTGCTCTTCCTTGCTCTTCCTTGCGTCCTTCCTTGCTGTTTTCGTCGCCCGCCGCCCCAAAAATCCCAACTTCGGCTTCCAAGGGTCTTGCGTCCTTACTGCGCATCCTTATTAGGGTTTTTGACTGTATGAGTGATTTGTAAGGAAGTCTCAGGCGGGAGCCCCCTCCCGTTGGGGCCCACATTCCTGTTCGTGATTCGAGCGGGTCATCGGCAGCCAAGGGGGCAAACCGTGAGGACGCCTCAAGCGGGGCCCCCGTCTGTGAGTGAGTTGCGAGGACCTCTCAGGCGGGAGCACCCTCCCGCACTTCATGTTGGTAAGTGGGCTCCTCCGATCTGAATATGCCCGCCCTATAGGGTTCCAAGCTTCCATGTTTGAATCCGAGCGGGGTCATAACGGCCTAATGTTTATGCTCCGCAGGCTCGAATCTGGAGGAGGTCTCGAGCAAGAACCCCCCGGGAGGCTTCAGGGAGCCACAGGAAGCTTCAGGAGGCCCCGGGAGGCAGCAGGATGCCCCAGAGGCCGCAGGAGGCCCCAGAGCCACCCGTGAGCCCTCGGAGGCCCCACGAGTGTCCCAGGGGGGCCCCGGGAGGCCCCATGAGCCCCCCGGGGCCTCGGGAGGTCCCCGGAGGCCCCGGAGAGATCCAGGAAGTCCAGGAGGCTCCAGGTGGCAGCAGGAGGCCCCAGGGGGAGGCAGGAGGCCCAAGGAGGAGGCCCGGGCAGGAGGAGGAGGCGGCCAGACGCCGGGAGGCGTGGGGGGCCCCAGGAGGCGACGGGAGGCCAGAGGAGACCCCACGAGGAGGCAGGAGGCTCAGGGGGGATGCAGGAGGAGGCCAGAAAAAGAGGCCTGACGAGGATGAGGATGAGGACGAGGACCATGAGGAGGACGAGGACGAAGAGGCGGAGGAGGAGGAGGAGGAGGAGGAGGGGGAGGAGGAGAAAGAGGAGGAGGAGGAGGAGGAGGAAGAGGAGGAGGAGGAGGAGGAGGAGGAGGAAGAGAAAGAGGAGGAGGAGGACCAGAGGAAACCCAAGAGTCATCAGCGATGGTGGAATTCACCCTCCCTTCAAGCTCCCTCTTCATGGGCCCCATACAACGGTTCATTTCCATTGAGAGAACTGCCTCGTTGGAAGACAACCGTTTGGAAATTCTGAAGCGTGCCAGAACATTGTTCTGTGGATTTCAACGCCGCGTATCAACCTGATTGTTGCGTCTTGACGATCCAGGCTTGAGCCAGAACGCCACTTCTGGGATTTCAGCACAGCGGATCAACCCAACTGTTGCGCACGCATAATCCTGAATCCTTGCAAAACGCCATTTGTGGACGAATGCGCGCGGCGCCAAGGCGAGAGCCACATTTTGAAAACCACCCGCCCTCCATCCGCGAAGCTCACGCAGCAAAGTTTTTAAACGAATGTGCGCGGCGCTAAGGCGAGAGCCACATTTTGAAAACCACCCGCCCTCCATCCGCGAAGCTCACGCCGCAAAGTTTTTAAAACGAATGCGCGCGGCGCCAAGGCGAGAGCCACATCTTGAAAACCACCCGCCCTCCACCTATGAAGCTCATAGTCATCAGTGGTGGGGAAGTCTCGTGCGAAACGTCCAGCCCGCCCTAAAGAATGGCCTCGGCGTGCGACAGGGAGGAGTTATCCGTGAGGAATGGAGGAGGAGGAGGAGGAGGAGGAGGAGGAGGAGGAGGAGGAGGCGGAGGCGGAGGCGGAGGCGGAGGCGGGGGTAGGCGGAGGTGGAGGCGGAGGCGGAGGAGGAGGAGGAGGAGGAAGAGGAGGAAGAGGAGGAAGAGGAGGAGAGGAAGAGAGGAGGAGGAGGAGGAGTAGGAGGAGGATGCAGGAGGAGGAGGAGGCACGAGGCAGGAGGAGGAGGAGGAGGAGGAGGAGGAGGAGGAGGATATGTGAGTAGGAAGAGGAATATTGCCCCCGGAGACCCCGGGAGGCCCCAAGACTCCCCGGGAAGCTCCAGTTGCTCCCAAGGAGCAGGCAGGCGGCCGAGGGAGGAGGAAGAAAAGGCCAGAGGATGAGAGAGGAGGAGGAGAGAAGGAGGAGGAGGAGGAGGAGGAGGGAGGAGGAGGAGGAGGAGAAGGAGGAGGAGGAGGGGAGGAGACGGAGAGAGGAGGACGAATAGGAGGGGGGAGGAAGAGGACGAGGAGGAGGAGGAGAGAAGGAGGGGAAAAAGGAGGAGGAGGAGGAGGACGAGGCGGAGGCAAGAGGAGGCGGAGGAGAAGAGGGAGGAGGAGGAGGAGATGAATGAGCAGGAAGAGGAAGAGTGCCCCAGGAGGCCGAGGGATGCCCCATGAAGTCCCGGGAAGCTCCAGGAGCCCCCAGCAGGCCAGAGGAGGAGGAGCCTGATGATGAGGAGGAGGACGAGGAGAAGGAGAAGGAGGACGAGGAGAAGGAGGAGGAGGACGAGGAGAAGGAGAAGGAGGACGAGGAGGAGAAGAAGGAGGAGGAGGAGGAGGAGGAGGAGGAGGAGGAAGGAGAGGAGGAGGAGGAGAAAGAGGAGGTGGAGGAGGAGAGAGGATGAAGAGGAGGAGGAGGGGAAGGCAGGAGTAGGAGAAGAGGGAGGACGAGGAGGACCAGGAGGAGGAGGAGGAGGAGGAGGAGGACATTGAAGAAATGGATAATGAGCAGGAGGAGGAGGAGGACGAGGACAATGAGGAGGAGGAGGAGGAGGAGGAGGAGGAGGAGGAACAGCAGCAGGACAAGACGCAATTATAAAACATGAGGAGGAGGAGGAGCAGCAGCAGCAGCAGAAGGCAAGCGGAGACAGGAGGCAGAATGCAGGAGGCAGGAGGAGCGGTGGGGACGAGAAGGAAGAGGCAGAAGAATCGGAGGCAGGAGGAGGAGGCAAGATGAGAAGGATGAGGCAGGATGAGATCCTCAGGCAAGCTAAACAGGTTCTCATGCGGGGTCTTCCCGTCGAAGTAAGTGTTCCTGTCACCGCCAGAAAGGGACATGACAGGCACCACCCAAGCCTCCAGAGGCCCCAAGAGGGCCCCGAGAGGAGTGAAACGTAGCACTCTTTCCGTACCGCTCCTCCTTCGTTGTTGACTCACGGCAGTCTGCTGGAGGCTAACTCCTCGCAGCTTGCGCACAGTCTGCGTAGTCCAGGCCCAGAGCCAAAGTAGGGTTCAGATGCCCACTGCAACCGCGAATGGCCTGCCTCTCCCGCTTCTCTTCTTTGGCCCGGCGAACATTCGGCAGCTTCTGAGAGGCTTCTCCGAGACCTCGTTGCCGTACGCACGCGGCTGCAAAGCCCCACGAGCATTCAAGCGGTTGCACATTGCGAGTTGTTTCCGCAAGGATCTTCAGGTCCTCAGTGCGGCTATGCCACTCGCCGACTGTTTTTGTTCAGGCTTCCCAGATGGGGTTGGAGTAGATGGGGTCGGGTGATCGCGCCGCATCGCCGATGCACTGGGGTTGCGGCTCGATGTGGATCGCAATGTTCTCCACGCGGACGTCGCCAATGCATCGCCGACGTCGCCGATCTATCGCCGATGCATCGGCATCGGCGATGTATCGGCGATGCACCAGCGATGCACAGGCGATGTGGCGCGATCCTCCGACCCCGTCTACTCTCGAAGCAGGACAATGGCATACACATAAACTCTCGACGGTCCGCGCGGATTCCTTGCATCTGGCGGCGCCTCCGGCGCCGCCTCTGGCGCTCCCTGCGCGCCAGGGAGGGGGGTCCGGCGCAGATCCGAACAGCATCCGCGCGGCCAACGCCAGAAGAGTTTCTGTGTTGATGCAGCTCTTTTTGTCTGCCTCTGTCGTCTTTTTTGTGCGGCGGGCGGGCGCGGCCCTCGGGCGGCGCCGTGCCGGACGTGCGCCTCCAGCAGAGGCACAGCCTGTTGGTACCCCAGCCTTTTCTTTGGGGTGGAGGGCAGAGGGTAACATCTGAGATGTCGTTCCGATGGACTTGCGAGGTCTGGAGGCTGGAGGCCGAAGGAGGAGGAAGAAGAGCCGGGAGGATGGGAAACAGGAGGAGGAGCAGGAGGAGGAGGAGGAGGAGGAGGAGGAGGAGGAGGGAAGAGGAGGAGGAGGAGAGGAGGGGGAGGAGGAGAGGGACGGAGGAGGTTTGGATCTGCAAGAGGCGCCGCGCTCGCCGCCGCGCGCGGGCTCCGCGCGCGCGCCGGCCGCCGGCCGCCGGCGGCGCCGCCTGGCCTGCCTGCAGCGCCACGGCCGCCCCGGCCGCCCCCGCGCCGCCGCCGCGCCGTCGGCTGTCGTGAGCCGCCGCCCCGGGCCGGCCGCCGCGCCGTCGGCCGCCAGCCGCGCCGCCCCGCCTTCGTCTCCCTCCTCCCTCCTCCGCCTCCTCCTCCTCCCTTCCTCCTCTCCTCCTCCTCCTCCTTCCTCCTCCTCCATCCTTGGTTCTCCTCCTCCTCGATCCTCCTTCTCCTCCTCCTCCTCCCTCCTCCTCCTCCTCCTCCTCTCCTCCTCCTCCTCTCCTCCTCCTCCTCCTCCTCCTCCTCCTCTGCTTTTTCCTCCTCCTCTTCTTCCTCTCCTGCTCCGCCTCCGCCTCCTCCTCCTCCTCCTCCCCCCCCCCTCATCCTCCTCCTCCTCCTCCTCCTCCTCCTCCTCCTCTCCTCCTCCTCCTCCTCTGCCAGACCCCTGCCCCCTGCCTCCCCAGAGATCCAACGCATTTTTGCCCAACCATCCTGTGGTGTTGGGTCCTCGTTTTGAAGAGACGGTTCCCGCGTTCCTTCCGTCCTTGCTCGGTCCGCGGTGTTCGCATGCGTCTCCCCCACCCAATACCGCGCTTCGCTGCCCCATAGGGAGCTCCACTTAAGGTCCCAGTGGCGGTGTTCGCATGCGTCTCCCTCACCCAGGACAGCGTCTCGTGGCCCCAGATCGAGCTCCCCCCAAGGCCCGAATGGCGGTGTTCGCATGCGTCCCCACCGCCCAGGACAACGCTTCGTGGCCCCACAGGGAGCTTCACTTGAAGAGGACCCGCCGGCCTCGGCGTATCGCGCGCGCGCCCGCTCAAGGAAAGCGTAGCCCCCCGACCTCGGATGCTTACAAATAGCCAGGTCCGCAGAGCCCGTTGTCTTTAGCAGTACAGAAGGGGGTGCGGAGCGTGTTGGGCAGAATCCGCGACGAGTGCCAAGGTCTGCAGGCCGTGAACGTTCGCAGAGATTTGAAAAAGGCATAGACTGTGTACGTGCTTGCTCGAGGATGGCGCGCGCCCTCCGCGCCGAATCCCTACGGACGTCTCTGACGAAGCGCTTGGTTTGCAAAATGTGGCCAGCTTCGGCGCCCCGGGATACCCAGGCGGTCTTGGGAATGCGGAAGCACGTGGACATGAGTGGGTTCCTTCGCCCCAGGTTGGGACAAGCGTGAAATCACGCCCCAGGGCGGGGCAGGCGTGAACACACTTACTTCGGTTCCTAACGCCCCGGAGCGGGACAAGCGTGAAAGCACATGACTCATCACGCCCCAGAGCAGGACAAGCGCTGAAACACATGGGTCCTTCACGCGCCAGAGCAGGACAAGCATGAAAACACATGGGTTCATCACGCCCCAGAGCGGGACAGGCGTCACAACACATGGGCTCATCACGCCCCAGAGCGGAGCACGTGTGAAAACACCCGTCGTTCTCTAACGCCCCAGAGTGGGGCAAGCATGAAACCACGTGGGCTCCTGACGCCCAAGAGCGGGGCGAGCGTACAAAACATATGGTTCTTATTGCCCCTGTGCAGGGCCAGCGTGAAACCATTGCGTCATAACGCCCCAAGACGAAACAAGCGTGAACACATGTGGGTTCCGAATTTCCCAGAGCGAACAAGCGCTACAGCACGTGGGTTCCGAACGCCCCAGGAGGGGACGAGCGTGAACACAAGCGGGTTCCGACCGCCCCTCGAGCGGGACAAGCGCGACAACAGTACGTTTTCTAACGCTTCGGAGCGGAAAAAGCGTGACAACACGTGGGTTCTTAACGTCCCAGAGCGGGGCAAGCGTGAAATCGCTTGGGTTGCGAGCGCCCCACGCGGGACAAGCGTGAACACACGTGGGTTCCTATCGCGCCAGAGCGGGACAAGCGTGAATCATGTAGGTTCCTAACGCCCCAGAGCGGGACAAACATGAAACCACGTGGGTCCCTAACGTCCCAGAGCGGGACACGCGTGAACATGTCCCTTGCTTCTTTCCCTGCCCGTTCCGTGGCGCGTCCTTTGCCGCGTCCCCTGACACGTTCCCTTGCGCATCCCCGGTGCGCCCTTGGCACCTCCCGTGGAATGTCCATGCGCCCTGCGCCCCGTGTCGACTCGTCCCGCTTCTGAGCTGAATCGGATCTCGAGCTCGAGATGAGTGAGCGTCCAGCACGTTGCAACCAGCTCTGGGCCAGGTCAGTGAGGTCGGTTTCGCAGATTCGAAGGTCGACTTAATCCACAACGCTACAGAGCATGACGAAATTCAGCGCGACATGACACCTCTCATTTCAGCACTGCGCAGCACAGCATAATTTCTGGTACGATGCATTACGATCGATACCTTCAGCATTGACACACACACAAACACATCGCGCGGCGCGCCCCCTGGCCCGTCCACTAGCACGTTCCGTGGCGCGTCCTTTGGCACGTCACTGTGCGGCGTGGCACAGCGCAGAGCAGCTCAACACAGCCCCTGGCACCGTATCATCACCATGCATGTCTTCAGCATTGCCAGTACCCATCGCCCATCGCCCAGTGTAATCTTCGAGGGATCGTGTCCATCGGGCACTTCCCCTGGCACTTTCCCTGGCGCCTTCCCTGGGCACGTTGCGCGGCGCGTCCCCTGGCACGTCCCCTAGCACGTCCGCTGGCACATCTGCCGGCACGTTCCGTGGCGCGTCCCCCTGGCACGTTCCACGGCGCTTTCCGTGGCGCGTTCCCCTGGCGCATCGCGCGGCGTGTCCATTGGCACGTCCACTGCGTTCCGTGGCGCGTCCCTTGGCACGTCGCTGTGCGGCGCGGCACTGCGTCGAGAAGCACAACACGGCTCCGTTGCGCAGTAGCATCACCCCTGATGCCTTCAACACTGCCACCGCCCATCGCCCAGCTGCGGTGCTTGGAGCGTTCCTGTGCCTCGCAGCTCCGACTCCCCCGCCGGGTTCGCGGGTCGATCGTGCTCCCCCCGCCATAGGCTTGCCGTGGGCTCCTGGCGTGCACCACTCCTCGACCTCCCCCGGCAGCCCCGAGGATGCCCTGTAGGAGGCCCCGACGTGCGTCGTTTGTCTGTTGCTCCTCTTCCCTCATCCTCCTCTCTCCCCACTGCCTGGTGACTACTCTTCTTTCTCCTCTCCTTCCTGGGCCGAAGGATGAAGCCTGAGGATCGAGGAAGATTGCGAAGGCCTTACGGCCAGTGCCGCGGACCCTGAGAACGACGAAGATGAAACGATGGGGGGGGCAGGGGGAGGAGGATGAGTGGGACGTAGAGGAAGGGTGGGGGAGGTGGATGAGGGAGAAGGAGGGGAAAGAAGGATGTGGAGGAGAAGCAAGAGGAGGAGAAGGAAGCAGAGGAGAGCAGGGGGAGCAGAGGGGGGGAGGAGGAGGAGGAGGAGGAGGAGGAGGAGGAGGAGGAGGAGGAGGAGGAGGAGGCCAGAGGCTTTCTTGGGACAGCCTGGGGCTCTCTTGAGGCCGTCTTGGGCCGTCCAGGGCTCCTCTTGCGCCTTCTCGAGGCACTCTTGGAGGCCTCCTGGGCAATTTGGGGCTCTCCTGGGCTGTCTTGGGGCAATCTTGGGGGCCTCTTGGGCCGTCTTGGAAGCGTCTTGGGCCGTCTTGGGGCCCTCTTCAGCCGTTAGAGGACCCTCTTGGGGGCCTCTTGGGCCGTCTCGGGGCGGTCTTGGAGGCTTCTTGGGCCGTCTTGCCGCGTCGGGAAGCGGAAGAGGCAAGAACGCCAAGATCTTTTAAACACGTATGGAAAATCCATGAATGTTGCCTCTTGGGGCTCTCCTGGGAAAGCTCCTGGAGGCCTCTTGGGGCGCTTTGCAGGCCTCTTGGGCCGTCTGGAGGCCGTCAAGGCGTCTTGGACAGATCGTTCGGCGATTCGGGGTTCTCTTGGATTGTCTTTGGGGCCTTACTCCTGGCCCGTCTTGAAGCTTTTTGGGGCTCCAGGACTCCCCGGGGGGGCGTCGTATCTGACCTCCCCCCCCTGGGACCCTCCCCGGGACCACCCCCGGGACCCCTCCCCCGGCGGGGAAGGGAT